AAAAGGGACAGCATATGAAAACATACATTTGTGGGGCCACATAAAAATATCTGCAGTTTGTGATGTGATTATAGAACTAAAACAAATGATTTTCCTTCCATATTCAAAGTGCCAAAGAGAATGAGATCCCTCGGTTCATCTCTAAAAGTGGAGTAAAAGGACTTAGCATCCAGCCTTTTTATGGGAATCGTGATGCAGAGTGATAAAACTGAGTTTACTTAGATGTTATTTTGCTAACGGTTAATTGTGTTTAAATTTAATCAACATGATGAAATAGAAAGTGTAGTTTGGATAATGAAATTATTTTCATACCTGACTTTTTCACCCAGATTCCACGAGTGTTTTTGACTACGCTGCTCATCCTTGTGTTTCTGCGTGAGATTGTGGAAGTCTGAGAGATGTGAGAATCTCTGAGTTTCCCATGTATGATTAAGAAAGAAGTTATATTAAGTGTGTTGTGATTAGTAAATGCAGAAGATTCATGTGTAATTAATAGAATATATGTGATTATACATGAAGTGTATGAAGGAAAGTATATTCACATGCGAGAGAAACAACAGGATGGGATGCCCATCTTCCCCCCTTCTTCCTCTTACCACACTTGGTAAGATGCGATGAAAGCAGTGCGTTTATTTACAGTGAAGAGATGTTACATAACAATACATTCCAGTGCGTTCCGTCGACTCCCGTGCAGTGTCTTCTCCCAAAATGTCCGTGTTAGTGCTCTCCGCTCCTGTGTCTCTGCAGTCTCCGAGCTTGCTGTTCTCTACCGTTCCACGCTAGTCCTGGGGGGGAAATAATAGCGGCAGCCGTCAGGACACTTTATCAGCAGGCATATACACTCTGAACTTGTAACTCTAGGAAACTGACATGGAGTCTCACCTCCCTATACACACACAAGCATGAACATGCTTGGGAAAGGCAGCACAGTGCAGAAAAATATATAAAATGAGACCCCAACTGCTTGTGGACCCTGGGTCGCTCAGACCCAGGTCGATGACACCTGTAATATTGTAATATAACAAAAAAGGTTAAAAAAGGTTACTTTGGCTATAAAAGTTAGCAGATCCTTGGGCCCTATTTTACAGGCCACTAAACTTTAACCCAGTTAGTTACTAGGTACACAGATTATAGAAGAGAGCTGCTGATAAGACATGTGACTGGAGGTTTGTAGATGACCTATAAGGCCACCCAGACAAGAACACCTTCAGAGGAAGCAGGATCCACAATCATTTGACTTGGTTTGTGGTTCAGTCTTTACAATCCATAGATAATTTTGTTGTATGTTACAAACTACTGTGGTGCTACAAAATACTTTTTGGCAGGTAGCTTATTTTTAGTGTCAGAAAAAACAAGATCAGGATTTGAAAAATCATGTTTCCATCTTACAGCTATAGAATCAATACAGAATAGAAACAACAGAAAACAATATGATATAATAGCTAAAGCAGAAGCAGAGACGTATTTTTTTGCTGCTGCTTTATTACTCATGACAACCAAATTAAACCATTGTATTACACTAAATAATATTTATGTTAGAAATGTAAGAACATGGTATACATAAGTCATGTGCTATAAAGGTCTCAAGAATAAAACTGACAAATGCATCATGAATATAAATGAATCATGACTAAAGACATTAAATTGTAATATTCAAATTTACTACAAGGGAAAGAAAATCTGCTATTGAAAGAAAAACATAAATTGAATCCTTAAACCTGAAAAGAGTCGGAATATCACAGTATTCCTGTGGTTTAAGGCACTAAAATTAAAATCTGTAATATTGTAGTTCTACCGCTGTATCTAATTTTCTGTATAATTCGGGTCTACACTGTAATCCCAAAAGTTATTTGCATTCAAATGGTTTAGCTATAATCACTGATGGTAATTAATTTTCTTTGTAAAACTAAAATCATATAACTGTGTCAGACAGAACTCATTGGTGGAAGCTTTTTGCACTTAACCTATATTGTTTTGCATGTGATGCACTAAAATGAATACACTAAAATGAGGGGTTAAGGCTGTAACCCTCACAGCCTTAACCCCTGCTCATGCGTAATGGTTCTAGCATCTTCCTCGTCCATCCAAACCGCGCGGTTCCATTGTGTGATGTGAGCACATCCAAACCGTGTTCAGGGTTAGCCCGGGTCCGGACTCCGGCCCCGGTCAGAGGAGGAGGACCAGAGCACGGCCGGGCACCTCCAGCCGTTCACACGGACAAATAAACCTGTCATTATTCTCTGCACAGCCGCACTCTGACGCTCAGCCCCTCGCTGAGGCTCGAGGGGCTGAACACCGCTCCTCTGCACCTGTACGGCCTCTCGTAAAGTTTACTTTATTAACATGTGCGCCGCTGCAGCGCCATACAGAGCTGAGCAGCGTCTCGTCCTCGGCCCTCGCTGCTCCGTGCGGTACATCGTACTGAACTCTGCAAACGGGACTCGTGTTTCAGAAAAACTTGTGTTTTTTCCTCTCTCTGGACTTAACACTTTACTGAGGTTTGGATGTGACAAATAGCACTTCATTTGACAAACTGAAAGCATTCTGTGCCTACAGAATGTGCCTACAAAAACCCATTCTCTTGACGGGTTGCTGCCTTATCAACATTGAAGAATGGGTCAAATGCAGAGGACAAACTTCATTATACAGTTGTATAATGACAATAAGCCTTACAGATTCCCCAAATTTTCCTGTTTTTTAATTTTTTTTTTTTATTTGAACAATTAACTTGTACTTAAATAATAAACAGCATTTATAGAAATACAATACTTTGACCTTTTATACTTGTGTTACTCTCCACCAACAGGTTAACTCACAGTCCCCCCCCCCCTCTGTAGAATGCTGCTGATGGTGACCTTGAAATCCCAATAGGAATCATCTTCAATGGTGAAAACGTTAGTCCAGAGCAAGAACTGAACCCCTCCCAGCTGGGGATCCTTCTAGAGGGCAATGTGGTAATGGATTCCATCTGCAGTCTTCCTTTGGCAATGTGTCTCCTGTTTGGACTGACTTATGCACTCCACTTGGAGTACCCAAAGTGCATGAAGAATACATTCCTGTTTATCCAGCAGATTATGCTGAATCTGGGACGAAACGATCCTCCTCCAAAACTCCAAAGGCTAAAAAATGAGCTTTCAATGTGTGCATAGATACATTGAATGTTCACTCTTCATTGAGCAGCTTTTTCTCAAGTTCAGGAAGTCATTATTGTGTTTGTAATTGTCTTTTTTTGTTTTTAGTGGATGGCAAAACCAGGGCTTAAAGGAGTAGTTCACTGATTTTACATACTGAGATATGTTCTTACCTTAGCTTTGAAGAGTTGATGCATACCTGTCTTGTCTTTGTGCGAGAGAAAGGCTCTCCCATATATTCCAACTACCTCCACTTTTTGCTCCTTTTAGAAGCTACCGAGCTCCTCCACGTTTTCCCTATTTATGTAAAATTACATGAAAAGTTACACTATCTAAGTTTAGTTTTACTAAATTTAACGTATAGATTTTTTAAGCCGATAAAAAGGGGCACTATATTACAAGCGCGCAGTAACCCTAGTGCACTCTGGAGCATAGACTGAGTTACTGGGGGGATGAAGAAGTGCTCCTATAGTGTTATTACACCTTGTAATAGAGTACCCCTTCTTATCGGCTTAGAAAATCCACACGTTGTTGAAAACCGGTTCCCACTGTTTCAATTCCTTGGAATTGTTTGCCGTTTTTGCAAACGATTCCCTTATCGATTCCAGTCGCCCCGAATGACGTCACCACGTTACGGAGCGTCATTTACCTGGCAGGAAACATGGCGCCTAACGCTCAAAAGTTTGGTTATACTTTACGAGAATGGATGACAAAAGGGCAACTTGCAATACTTGCAAAGTAGATATTTCATTTAAGGGAGGAAACACTACGAATATGCAAAAGCATTTGCTCACAAAACACACGATGACCTTAAATGAATGCCGTGTTTTAAATTCCGCTCCGGACTCGTGAATCTCAACGCAGCAGCAGCGGTAATGTTTGCATGTCCTCTCCCGTTAATGCGGCAGGTAAATAATCAACTAACAGTGCATATTATGTTAGTACAATCTGCCTTATTACAAAACCTGCCATTACTGTGCGCTGCATTTAGGTGACCATGATGAAAGAGACAGACAGAGTCTGGCTGGCTCAGATGCTGGCAGTTGTCGCTGCAGTCTACTGGTAGCGTCTCCTTTCAGGCCAGTATAGACGAATGTCACTGAGCAGTGACTAAGTTTGTGATCAAAGGCTTGCACCCATTTGCCACAGCAGATGCCCCGATTTTCAGTAAGTGAATGTGTTTAATTGTAGGCAGGGACATTAGTGGATATTCTTGTGTAATTGCTAAAGAATAATTTATGTTATACTTTGTTATTGCTACAGAAGAATATTTATTTTATTATTTTACATTTACAATTTTTTTTCCTGGGGACCCTGTGGCACTCCATTGAAGAGCCATAGGCTGTGGATCTCTTAAGATCTCACTGTTGGGTTTGTAAGGCCATGTTACTCCTAAATTTCTATCTTGTTCAAAGAGAAGATATATAATCGACCTTAGTGTTCTCCTTTTTTAAAAAGAATCGATAAGAGAATTGATAAAGAATCAAATCGTTAAACAGAATCGAAAATGGAATCGGAATCGTGAAAATCTTATCAATACTCATCCCTACATGTGACTTAATACTCAAGTTAGTGAACTCCACATCCCTATGTGCTCGCCACTGTCTTTTACAATTTAAGGTTGTGCATAGGTTCCATCTCTCCAAAGTCAAACTATCTCGTATGTATCCAAATGTTGACCCCACTTGTGATAAGTGTGGGAGTGCGGAGGCTTCCCTTATCCATATGTTCTGGACGTGCCCTAGCCTTGAAGGATTCTGGAGAGATATATTTCAAACTTTGTCCCTAATTCTTGGACACCATATGGATCCTAATCCATTAGTTGCGCTTTTTGGCACCACTGGGAAGGCTGATGCACGGTTGACCTCATCACAGCATTGCATGCTCTCCTTCGCCTCCCTTGTAGCTAGACGTGCAATCCCACTTAGATGGAGGAGTGCCCCTTTGCCCACCCAGGCTCAATGGCTGAGGGACCTCATGTACTATCTGAGCCTTGAAAAGATCCGGTATGCGATTAGCAATAACAGCGGTAAGTTTTACAAGGTGTGGGGGCAATTCCTGAAATACTTTTCCAGCCTCCAGGTTGCGAACCCGACTTCCAGCATTATAGGTATGGGCAGGGGGTAAACTGATAAAACCAATTATAAGACATGTGAGTGTGTCATTAATCTGTATTCTAGTATTTCAGTTCAAACAGTCACTGTGAAACTTACTTGTTTGCTGTTTAACAATTCTTTAACAATTAACAAATCTGATTTTCTTTGCTGCTTCAAATGAATAAAAATATCTTTGAGAAAAAAAAAACTGGCTGTGGCAATGTTTCTCTGCCTGATGGTGGTGGTTCTCCAGTTTGTTGCATTCTAGTTTTAAATGTCTGGTCTGGGTAATATCCTCTCATACTCCTACTTTCTAACCTGGGTTGTCAGAGCCTCTCACCAAAATATTTACTGCCAGTCATTGCATACTCTCCCCCAGACCACCACCTTAGGGTGGTGCTCTCCACTAATTCACCAGTTCATTGCTTATATTTGTTTCATTGAAAATAAACCTATTGAGCTTCAATTGTGCGAGTCTGCCTCACAGGTCCAGTCATTTATGATGATATGACTTTATTTGTTAAACATATTTATTTTGATTGTTTAAAAAACAAACAAACTCGCAAATATCAGAGATTGGTACCATTTATTCTAAAGCACTCAGAGAAAGGCCAGCATGTTTATTTGGATCGTGATGTCACCACACACTGACATGTTTACATATAAATGTTTTTTTTTGTCACAGCAACTACTTTAACTTTGTTGCTAAAGGACAGTGTAAATTCCCCCCCCCCCCCCCCTCTCCACTACCCCCCCCCCCCCTCTTTGTTACTCTGTCCACCATCTTCAGTAAACTTTATATGATTGTATCTGCCTCTGAGACTCATTTTGACCCAAATGTTCTGCATTCATTACAACAAAGACTCAACTCTGTGTTTCATTCTAGCCTGGGTTTATCTTACATGAAAACACTGTGTAGTTGATCAGCATGCAAAATTTACTTACAGATCATCAGAATCATCAAGAAGATCAGACTTGTTGCAGATAAAGTGAATTTGCTGACATTCGCCACCATTTCCAATCAGACTACTGACACTTTCCAGGATCCCCCAGGCTGCTTTCTCTGATGCTGCTCGACTAATTTCAGTCACAATCCACACAGTAGAACAATCTCCAACTATCTGAAAGGAGAATAACATGTCTCAGTGCTTAATAGAAAGATGACTGTTTACAGACAACACAGTATAAGCAAAGAGCAGTAAATGTGAATTACCCCTTTCCACATCTGATCTCTGCTCTTGTTACAGTCACCATTTCCAGGAAGGTCCACAAGTGTGACATGCTGGAGAAAAGGATTGTTTGGCACCCTGACAGTCACACACTTCACCAGTGGCCAAAACCACTTTTTTCCTTCATTGCCTTCTCCTTGTTTTGAATCACTTCTTGTGTACTTGACACATTTTGCAGAAAGTTCATTAGCCTGCAATAAATAAAAAAAGCAGTGCAGTTTAATTTCAATCCTCACAAAAAGTGCTTTACAAAAACCATTAAAAAGTCAGTGACATAAAAATTCAGGTCATGTGAAATCCTTTTTAGAACAATCAACCATTTTATAGTTTCAAGAAAGTGCCTAATTATTATTCAAAACCAAAATTAAAATCAATTTTTATGATTTATTTAAAAATTTTTATTCTGTATTTAAAATCACACTAAGTACACTCTTGGTCTCAAACAGTTAGTATTACTATGGGAAGAAACTACTTGATCTGTGTATTTTGCAGTTGTCCACCACTTGGGGACATTAATAAGCTACTTTAGGGTGCTCCCTTATTTACAAGGGATCACTACAGCTGATAACTTGTTTTGACTGTCAGGGTTTTACACCACTTTATGCCATTCCTGACACAACCGACTGTCAGGCACTGATTTACTAAAGTTTGTGGCCACTTTGTTGACTTTGCTCAGCAGTGAATTTCTACAGAGCGATTTAAAAAGGGTAAGTAGGTTAAAACAAGGAACTGATCACTGTCGTGTGAAGAGGTAAAGGTTCTTACTGCGATTTAAAAAGATAAATAAATCATGCTCTACATCAGTGTTTCCCAACCTTTTGGAGCCACGGTACATATTTCACATCAGATAAATCACACGGCACACCACCAAAGAAAAAAAGACAAAATAACATACTGATAATTTTTCCGCGTACCAGGTATAGCAGTTTGTCTCCAATATACCTTTTTAGCTTTCTTCTGACCACTACTCATGCTAGGGCCTTCATCTGGGTCACAATTTTCTCCAGGACCCAGGTCAGATTTACTACTTTTTCTTTTCAAATATTTATCTGTTGTTATTACGTGCTACGTCGTCTCAATCACAGCATGACTATTGTGTAATTTCTTCTTCTTCATTTTTACTAGCAGTTGGTAACCCGTTTAATTAGAGCAGGTAGTTGTCTTCCACGGCACACCTGATCATTTCTCAGAGTGGTTGGGAAACACTGCTCTACATAATGGACCTGGACCAGTCTTGGGATCTGTTAACCACAGTTATTACAAGAACAGATTTTTTTTCTGGATATGTGATCATCTACATGTCATTATGGGATCTCAGTAAGATCTGTTTCGTTGGGATCACTGGATCTGTTTTCAGTGTTTTATGTTTTTTAGACTTTTGAATCTATGCTGCATTCTGTTTTCAGAAGTGAGTTATGTTTCCATAACTCTTTTGTTAATTTGGTCAGTTCCCTTTTGTGTCCAGGTTGTCCTGGTTTCACCTGTGTGCATTCCCCAGCATCCCCAGTGTGTAGTCTATCATGGCTGTCTGTTATAGTAGTAATATGAGTTTGTCTTACTGATTCACATCTCAAAATCTTCCGCCTGGATTGGAGAAATTCTGGAATTTCTTTGAAATATTTTCGATCCATGAGGTTTTCAAAGGACTTTTCCCATTCTTCTCCATACAGTGCTGACAGCTTTTCAACAGCATCATGATAATCATCATCTTCCTTTTTCTGATCTTTATTATTGTCAAGAAACTGACGAAATGACCACAACTCTTCTTTCCACTCCTACAAAAATAAATGACATGCCATTTACTGAGGTATGTACCCAGCCTTAAACCCCAAGAACTGCAGTGTAACACATGATTTAGCTTCAAAAACATTTTCAAACTTTGAGAACTCATTTTACCTCCTTTGCGATGAACTCAATTTCTGCCTCATACTTTAAGCTACCTCTGTTAGCTTCCACTTTGATCATGACTGAGGTGCAGGCACTGACACTTCCTGAAGGTAAAAGATTCTTCTCTTTGATGATGGCATTTATCAAAGAGCTCTTTCCAGCCCCGGTTTTACCAAAGACACCAACCAGCTCCCTCTTGTCTGTCTCCAAATCACTGATCTTTTTCCTGTTGAACAAGATTTTAAATATAGTTAATTGATTTAAAAAAGAGAGTTTAAAAGAGAGTTATAATCATGGTAGTGATTTTCCAGTCAATTATCACTATATATTTCAGTTTTATACACTTGTTACACTAATTGTTTATTGTATGTTGTTTTGATCTAATAAATAATGATATAAAGTGCCTTGAGGCGACTGCTGTTGTGATTTTGCGCTATATAAATAAAATTGAACTGAATTAAACTGAATTGATCCACACCTTCCTTTTTGTGTCAGTTAAAGTGAAAATGTTTACCCCAAGAATGGGTAAATACCAGGAACAGGACAAAAATGTAGCTAAGTCACCAAAACTTCCTAAAAATATCCGTCTTTGTTGGTCTTAACTTGGATAGTTTTAGTTTACTACTGAATCATGAATGAATGAATCTTTGTCACTTACAGTTGCCTGTATTGAAAATTGGACCTTGCTGACCGTAAATACAATACACAAACATCACATTGAGGAGACAGGTCAGACTAGGTGGCATAAAGGAAAAACAGTGAAATGTATAACATAAAAGGGCAGTCGAGGAGAAAAAAAAAAGAAACTCTGCTCATACTGGTCCCCAAAAGGGAATCAGTATGAGAAGAAAACAAAAATTCCATAGCACAAAAGAGGCTCTGATATTTTCCCACCTTAACACCATGGCAAACAAGACAAGTATCGTGCATCCGAAGCTGAGCCGCTGTCCACATTGGATGGGAGGCATTGGGTTCAGGGAAGGGTGGGGGGTGAGTGCATATCAGTGGCAGTGTACGTGTGTGCATGCGTGTGAGAATATGTGTCCTGTGTTCAGCCTGAGAAAGTGTCCTTTCTCCCAGTTAGGCAAAAATCAACAGTCTGCAGCCAATGCAGGTGGCCTTGCGGAATCGGGCAAGAGAGTCAGTGAGTTATCGTTTCTCAGGGAAAGCTGGCACCGTTGTGTGTGTGTGTGTGTGGGGGGGGTAGCCGCATGAAAGATGTTGGTTGTGTTGTTTTAGGACAAACAGACTGCATTTGACTTTTACAGTTGCTACATACATTACAAAATAGGAAAAAAAAACCTTAATACTCACTTTAAGAAATCACTGAGTTTGTCTTGCTTATTTAGTCTGGCATGTACAAATGTCATGATGCTTTTCACATCAGACAGTATGACTGGTTCTGTTGGCATAAATGTAAAGAACTATTTAGAAGGAATTATAGACTAGAATAACCAGAAAATGTAAAATCTCATGTTAAAAAAACAAACGTGTGTGAATTAGAGAATATCAGGACCATAATGTGACCACTTACCAATCAACCCTAATATCCCATGCATCATGTGACTGTTAAATTTTGACAAAAGCCCAAAGAAAAAGTAATTTCTATCATCAAAGATGTTGGACAAATTGTGCTGCACAGAGGTTTAACCCTTAAACTGTGACACTGTTTAGTAAGAAACCTAAATACCTTCAAATCCTGGCACAGACAGACGTTGTCGCTTAGCTGGTGACTGCAACCTGATGGTGTCACTTTGAAGGTCTGATTTTCTCTTTCCTGATTGGATAAAAACAACAACAAAAAATAAGAACAAAAAAACGGTTTTCTCTCAGCACTTAAAGTTATTCTTAGTAAAGTTATGTAGATTGCAAAAAATATTGGTGCCTTTAAAACACAGACTAATATGAGATGCAATAAATAAGATGCATGTGTCTCACCTGTATCACTTGTGGATGGCAAGACCTGAGGATGAATATGAGTTATACAGGAAATTATTACTATTTGCACTGGCATTGCTCTTTAACAGCATTTAAAGGACACTAACATATAAGTTTTACAATCAACAAACTTAAATGCAGTTATTTTTTATTAACCAGCAGACTGATGAAAAATAAATTACAATAACCTTTTTCTTACTAAATATCAGTGATCCGACGAGACAGTTGTTTTACATAATTAAGTCCCAGTCCCAATGGAGCTTTACTTTGTCTCAGGCAGTTGGCTCATATGTCTGAAATTCAGTATAATCCTTACCTGAACCACATCAGCTGCTTCGTCATGCTCCTGTTCACACTGAAGATAAAAAGTGCAAAGCAGTGTTTAATATTAACCTCTTAAACATGTATTAAAATTGTATTTGTCGTATGGACATTCAATCTGAAGGAAAAAAATGTTTTAAACTGACTTGAAAAGAAATGACTGTTTCCTGATTTGAGTTTTGTTCTTCCTGCCACAATCAAAACAACTCAAATTATATTAGTTAAGAATTAATAAAATTACTCTACAAATAATTACTGCCAGTGAGATGCTGTCGAACACCAGTGGGTCGCTGGTGTTCGCTCTCTGCGGTAAACTATCACTTCTTGTTCCAACACATAGCACTATGTGTGGAACAAGAAGTGATTGGCTACGCAGATAAGCTACATAAAAACATCACTTGATGTTTTTATGTAGCTTATCTGCGTAGCCAATTTAATTAAAAACTTAGAACTTATTTCAAGGTGTAATCTTCACACACTCTGTGTATTCACTCACTGTGTCTTCAGTGGTTCACTAGCTTAGCTTGGCCATAGCCAACTCATTAGCAGCATGGCCTTTTCACCTGTCCCTCCTGCACTTTCCTGCTCATTGTGTCAGATGTTTAGTTACTCCTCAGCCTCCTTCAGCAATAATGATACTTGCAATAAATGTAGCCTATCTGCAGCTCTGGAGGCCGGGATCACAGAATTGTAGACTCTGCTTCGCACCCTTAAAAATCCCATAGCTATCCAGGCCTCTTTAGCCCGTGCTAAAGGTAGCGTAGGCCCCATTAGCTCCCTCTGGCAGATTGTCCCGAGCAGTCGGGGAAACAAGATGACTGGGTGATGATGAGGAGGAAGCATAGTATTAAACAGAAGGCCGGGCACACTGCTAACCCGTTCATGTCTCTAACTGTTTTCCCCAATTGGTGACACACTGGTTACCTTAATGGGAGGTCACTAAAATTAATACTGTATGCCTAAAGGCAAAAGAATGGAGTTTTACTTTGTCTCAGGCAGTTGGCTCATATGTCTGAAGTTCAGTATAATCCTTACCTGAATCACATCAGCTGCTTCTTCATGCTCCTTTTCATGCTGCAGATAAAAAGTGCAAAGCCAAATACAATGAGCACTTAAACATGTACTAAATGTTTTTCTTTCTCGTATAGATACAGATAGATATAGATAAAGATAGAAAATCTCAAGGCAACAAAATAGTTTGTAACTTACTTGAAAAGAATTGACTGTTTCTTGATTTGTGTTTTGTTTTTCCTGTACAATCAAAACATTGTAAATCCATATTAGTAAACATTTAACAAAAATTACACTGCATAATATTACTGCCAGCACATTTTTCAATATCCAGATAATTCTAACAAAAATTCAGCGCTGTACACTAAAATAACAATGATTGTTTAAAAAAAATGTAATTACCTTTAACAGCTTGAGGTTCTTCTTGAATCTCATTCTTGGTCCAGCTTTTGTGATCAAATTCTCAATTTCTCGATCATCAAGCTCACAAATAATTCCTGCATCAATTTCTTGATCTGTAATTAAAAATAAAGTTGCAGAGATCAAGATTATTCTTAACTTGTTTCAGGAATACTAAATAAATGAAAAAGCTATGGGCACAGATCTGAGCTGTTTTACAGTTTACAGATCCCATCAAGATCAATATCTGTACCCATCACAGATTCACGTTAATACTTTACCTTTAAATTTCTCCACCCACTCACTTAGCCCCCATTCAGCCAGTTTGGTTCTTACGAAATCATCCATGACCAAGAAATGAAACTGTAAGATAAAATGCAATATTTAACCAGACAGTACTGCTTTAAAGATTAGATATTGTGACAAACGTCTCCATTAATACATATATAATCAGAGACACTGATATTAAATTCAGATTAAAAGTTCAAACTCACCTTTTGTTGAAAGTAATGCTGGAAAAGGCTGCTGAGAGAGATGTGAAGTAAGCAGTGAGACACAAACAGCAAACAGGTGGGAAGAAAGAAATCGAGCAAAAAGCAAAGTCCACAAACTGGAACTGTGTGGCTCAGACTGCACAATTGCAACTGCATCTATACATAAAATAGAAATGTAAATCCAACATGAGTAAAGTGAGCGCAGGGAAAAGCAGAACTGAGAAAAGCAGGAAGTAGAGATATGTTTGCTCAGCGTAGATGGGAGTGGCTGGCAGACAGGTAACAACCTGCCTCGGAGAAAGTGGGTTTTTGTTGTTGTTTAAAATAAATCAAAGGGATTAAAGTTTTCAAATATTATAGGTTAAAACAAGACAAAAACACAGTTTTATGTATACTTAAAGTACACAGGAAGTCAAAACATTAAAAAAAGAAGAAAAAACACTTTCAGCGGTTCCCTTTTTCAGAAGAGCTCATAACAACAGACAGCTTCATATGTTAGTAATTTGTGCAGCTAATCAGGATCAAAGCAGGGATCTTTCACTTCTCGGGCAAACAGAAAAATATCTATATTATGGAGCCACTAACGTTAGGCAAAGTTGCCTTACTAAATTAAGGTACTTAGATTAAAAATATCACCATAGGTTTTATTATATGCTGCCACATGTTGGCTATGTACGAATAACAAAGGTGTGAGACAATGTTGGGTGAACACTTTGTAAAAAATTCTTAATTATTACTATTCCAGTCAGTCCAATTCAGTTCAATTCAATTTCATTTGTAGAGCCCCAAATCACGACAACAGTTGCCTCAGGGCTCTTGGTATTGTAAGGTAGTGTCAGGGCTCTGTGTGCGGGCAGGCGGAGATGAGGATCCAAATGCAGGACTCGGAAAACAGAATGCAACTCAAAACCTCAGCTTTATTGCTGGCACGAAAACAAAACATGACGTGAACACTGAGAACAAAAACACACAGGCATAATCTGAGGGTATGACGTGACACTGAGCAAGGGCAAACACAAGGCTAATATACACAGGGAAGTAATCAGGGAATGGAAAACAGGAGGGAGACACAGCTGGGAGAGATAGGGGCTAACGAGATAGGGGGAGCGAAGCTGGACACACTGACTTAAGACACAAACCTTCAAAATAAAACAGGAAACAACAAAAGGACGCAGATTGAGAAACACGGACTTTACACGGGCAGAACTAAACCTAAACCAGAATAAGCTGGAACATACTAAATAATCATCATCATCATACAATAGATCAAGAAAATAACCAAAAATACAAAATCAAACCAAAACATGAAATCTCAAAATACTGGGTCAAAACTGACCCAGAACCGTGACAGGTAGACTCTACAACAATACATACAGAGAAAAACCCAACAATCTATGACCCTCTATGAGTAAATAGAGATAGTGTCTGTCTCCCGAATCCAAACTGGAAGCTGGTTCCACACAAGAGGGGCCTGAAAACTGAAGGCTCTCCCTCCCATTCTACTTTAAATACTCTAGGAACAACAAGTAAGCTTGCAGTGGGAGAGCAAAGTGCTCTAATAGTGCTCTAATATGGTACTACAAGGTCATTAAGATAAGATGGGGCCTGATTATTTAAGACCTTGTATGTGAGGAGCAGGATTTTGAATTCAATTCTGGATTTAACAGGAAGCCAATGAAGGGAAGCCAAAACAGGAGAAATATGCTCTCTCTTTCTAGTCCCTGTCAGGACTCTGGCTGGAGCGTTTTGGATTAGCTGAAGACTTTTTGGGGAGTTTTTAGGACATCCTGATAATAATGAATTACAGTAGTCCAGCCTGGAAGTAATAAATGCATTAAGTAGTTTTTCAGCATCACTCTGAGACAGGATATTTCTAGTTTTAGAGATACTGCACAAATGGAAGAACGCAGTCCTACATATTTGTTTAATATGTGCATTGAAAGACATATCCTGGTCAAAAATGACTCCAAGGTTCCTCACAGTGTTACTGGAGGCCAAGGCAATGCCATCCAGAGTAAAAATCTGGTTAGATACCATATTTCTTAGATATTCAGGGCTGAATCTAACAACCTCAGTTTTATCACAAATCTTTACTACCATCTTTAATCCTCACAAATACTAAGAAAAATATAAATTGTCAATGTTATCTGTCAAAGTTGACAGCCCAGCAACACACAACAAATAACATGCAACTGTTAAGTTTGACTTGCTGAATTATGCAGAGTGATAAAACTGATCTTATGACCACTGTAATGAATGACTGAAGCTTTTCCCAAACTTCTCAATGTGAAATTTTACAGAGAGGAAGAGAAACAACAGAATGGGATTCACAGAGCAAACCACATTTGGTAAGACGAAGGAAGGGGGTGTAACACATGTCCAAATTGTTAAATCATCTTCAGGCCTGGATGAGCCCATCCTCCTTTCTCTCATTCCTCCCAAAATCAGTCTTAGGAATCTACATTAGAGTAGGTTAATTACATAAGTCGAATTCAAGGGCTTTTATTAAGCGATGATTATTATTAGTTGATTTTTCCTTTGCTCCTGCTAAATTTCTTTAATTTAATATTCTGCGTTCAAAAAGTCTTAATTGTAGACATTGGTCTTTTAACCCTTTGTGAAACAGTAAATGTAAAGGTTATAAAAGGTAACTTTGGCCATAAAAGTTAATTATTATAGAATCATAGAAGAGAGATGCTGATAAGAAATGTGACTGGAGGATTGTATTTGAACTGTGAGGCCACTTAGACAAGAAACCTTTCTGATGAAGCAGGATCCACAATCATTTGACTTCTGGTTGATAAATGGTTTGTGGTTCAGTCTTTACAGTTCATAGATAATTTTGCTCTTTGTTACAAGCTACTGTGGGACTGCAAAGTACTTTTTGGCAGGTAGCTTAGTTGTAGGGTCAGAAAAAAAACACAAGAACAAGGTTTGAAAAACCATGTTTCCATCTTACAACTATAGAATCAATACAGAATAGAAACAACAGAAAACAATATGATATAATAACTAAAGTAGAAAGTGAGACATATTTTTGCTGCTGCTTTATTACTTATGACAACCAAAGAAACCATTGTATTACAGTAAATTAATATTTAGGTTAGAAATGTAAGTAAAATGGTATACATAAGACATGTGCTATATAGAAAACTGGGAAGAATCTGAATATCACAGTATCCCTGTGGTTTAAAGCACTAAAATTAACAATCTGTAACATTGTAGTTCTACTGCTGTATAATTTTCTGTATAACTAGGGTCTACAAATAATGAACAAATACAACAAAATGGAGAAAATAGATATATCAAAACATCTTTGCACAGAGTGCTGCCCTTTTGGTTTAGACCCTCACAATTAAAACCTTAAAAACTCTGGGAGGAATTCATGCTTAAAAATCTTCATCCATCCATTTTCTTCTGCTTATCCAATTCGGGGTTGCTGGAGCCTTTCCCAGTTGTCAGGCGAGAGGCAGAGTACACCCTGAACAGGTTGCTAAGGTTATTCCACTCAACTAAAACTAAAGTAAAAACTAAGACTAGATATGAATATTTTAGTTAAACAAAATAAAAACAACAAGCAACAGAAATGATTAAATGACCTCATTTGAAATACAAATCAGAGGAAATAGTTTTAGTTTCAGTATTTGTTAGTTTGGTAAAAATGTTATTACAATGTGCCTGACATGGTATTGATGGATGTGTTTGAGACACTGGACATGTAACAAGACAAGTGGGTAAACTGTTTTCAAAAAGTGAAACATTTCTATTGTTTCCACTGGTTTTCCTAAATTTTGTCTCTGATATTTCCACTAAATACAACAATAATTTTAAAAAAAAATTAACAGTAAGGCAAGGCAAGTTTATTTATATAGCACAATTCAACAACAAGGTGAATCTAAGTGCTTTACAGAGACATTAAAAAACAATAAAAAAAAGCATGATTTAAAATTGATTAAAAGAAAAAAACAGTAGATAAAATCAGAACGTAACAGTAATAAAAACCCACTAAAACTAAACATTTTCAAACAATGAAAAATAAATTGAAATTGTAAGTCTTGAAACTAAACAGAAATGAAAAATAAAAATAAATGACAAAATACAAAACTAATAACACCAATTAACCTAACCCCCACGCATGTTTTTGGCCTGTGGGAAGAAGTTGGAGTACACAGAGAGCACCCACACAGACACAGGAAGAAAAAGCAAAGTCCACACAGAAAGGCCACAAACTGGATTCAAACCCAGGAGCTTCTCTCAGTGAAGACTGAAAAATCTCATTTCACCAAATTCATTAAAAGTCAAACACAGCATTCAAAGACAGCAAGCAACACAACAGAAATGTCTGTGGTGATATCCAGAGACCTCATGCTTTTGGTCAGTGTTCCCTCAGAGATGTTGAGTGGGTCATCAGGTTTCTGCTGTTACTGTGTGGAGCAAATCTGAAACATCCAGTAATAATAAGCACAAAGATTTTTAACACTCAGCTGCTCAGGCAAACAGTAAAATTGCCAGTGCTTACAGCTAGCTTTAAGATGTCTTGAAAGCTCCTCAGCCTAGAATAGAAAATCTTAATATCTGTTGTTTCTGTTACTGTTTGTGTAGAAAATCATTTTTGGAAACACTTTATTTTAACATGTTTGAGGTGACTCGGATGTAAAAAGGGTAAAATAACACAAATTATAAGTGGTGATATTATTCAAATACTTTGTCTGTGCACAGAAATAATTAATTCAGCATGTTTACCTCAGCTGTCAGTCTGATATGAGTCAATAAGTCACTTCTGTCCAAAGACTGTGGACAATATTCAGGGAAGTTTTTGAGCATGTCCTGAACGTTTATGTTGGTAGTGCTGCTGTTTTCACAACTGTTAGCAGTTGTTTAGCAGCTGCTAGTAAACTTCTTTTAAAGTAAATCTAACATTATGGTGTCACACTTTAACACTTAGTGAAAAAAACTCTCATCCAACGTAAGAATATAATCAAACATTTTATCAGAGAGAAATGGGGTTGTTTAGGGCACCGGTGCATAACATTACCTGGCACCAATGTTAGATAAGAACCAGCTGGGTTTTTTTTTTTTTAGCTGAGATGATGAAAATACAAGCGGACAGCTTAAATGGCCATATGTAATTTAAAATGGCTATTTCGGATCTTTAAATTATGACAAAAGTTAATGTATATTTAGGTGCTTAGGATTGTCATCAGATTTCACCCCCTCTCTTTGAGAATTCACA